GCCCAGCGGGGTTCAGTCTAGGTCTGTCAAGTAAGTAGCTGAGCACCCCAACTGTGAGCAGGAGGCTGAGGAGGCTGAGGAGGAGGAGGACGAGAAGGACAAAGGGAAGCTGAAGCCCAATTTCGGCAATGGGGCGGACCTGCCCAGCTACCGCTGGACCCAGACCCTGTCGGAGCTGGACGTGAGTGCAGGGGCTGGGGCTGAGGTGAGGGAGCCAGCCCGGGGCCCCTCCTGACTGCTCCTGCCCTGTGCAGCTGGCAGTGCCCTTCCCCGTGAACTTCCGGCTGAAGGGGAAGGACGTGGTGGTGGACATCCAGCGGAGGCGCCTCCGGGTGGGGCTCAAGGGGCAGCCGGCGATCGTGGACGGGGAGCTTTACAACGAGGTGAAGGTGGAGGAGAGCTCGTGGCTCATCGAGGACGGCAAGGTGGTGACGGTGCATCTGGAGAAGGTGCGAGAAGCCCCGTCTCCTGGCCTGTGTTGTGACTTAGGGAGGGGGGCTGCTCATGAACTCGGAGACCGTGCTGGGGGCCTGATGGACATACCTTTTTTAATCCCCACAACGAGACTTTTAAAGTAGGTCTGTCTAGTTTTAGAGTCAGGAAAAGGGTAGCTCAGAGATTTGCCCAGGCTTTTGCTTCTAGGAGGAGGTGGAGTTGGGATCAGAAGTGTCCTTAGTACCAAAGCCTTTTCCTTTCCATTAGGTTTGTACATGCATTCAATTCAACAAATACTTGAACACCTATTACGTGCCAGAGACTGTTCTAAGCACTGGAGAGAGAACAGTGAACAACACGTAGAAAACTGTGCCCTGAGGAAGCCTATGTTCCCTCCCTTACACCCTCAGAGAGCTGGGATTACAGACACCAGTAAATGAATGTGGTCTCTGTAAAGTGCTAGGGGTCCAAGGAAGGCCTCCATGGTACATACCACCTGACCCAGCCTACCTGACTGGCCTTGGCTGCCTCTGTGCCCTTGCACTTCCTCCCACCTGGAATGTCCTTCCCTGCTTTTTAATGTGGTTTACTGCATGTCCTTAAAGGCCTAGCCCATCCATGTATTGCTCTGACTTCTCCCTCCATGCTGGATGAATATCTTCCTCTGTACTTTTTTTTGGGTATAAATTTATTTATTTATTTATTATTTTTTGGCTGCGCTGGGTCTTCGTTACTGCACATGGGCCTTCTCTAGTTGCGGCCAGTGGGGGCTACTCTTCATTGCGGTGCGCGGGCTTCTCATTGCTATGGCTTCTCTCGTTGCGGAGCACGGGCCCTAGGCGCCCGGGCTTCAGTAGTTGTGGTGCACGGGCTTAGTTGCTCCGTGGCATGTGGGATCTTCCCGGACCAGGGCTCGAACCCGTGTCCCCTGCATTGGCAGGCGGATTCTTAACCACTGTGCCACCAGGGAAGTCCTCCCTCTGTACTTTATTCTTTCCGTTATCATGCTGATTTGTGACTGTCTCCGTGTCTGTCTCCCCCAGCCACTGGGGAGGGCAGAGGTCTTGTTCATTTGCACCCTAGGTCCCAGTACAGGCCTTCGCAGGTCCCCAGTGCAGGATGTGGATGGGAGAGAGTTTGGTTCTGGAAGGGTTGGGTGGTGGTTCCCAGGGCACAGAGCAAGCCACCACCCATCCCCCGGTGGTCCTCTTCTTCCTCTCAGATCAACAAGATGGAGTGGTGGAGCCGTTTGGTGTCCAGTGACCCCGAGATCAATACCAAGAAGATCAATCCTGAGAACTCCAAGGTGAGCCCTGGCCGGTTGGAGGAGCTTCGGTTGGGAGGTGAGGGGCCTAGGTGGCCCCAGAGCTTCACCCATCCCTGTCAATGCCTGCCCCCCAGCTGTCAGACCTGGACAGTGAGACCCGCAGCATGGTGGAGAAGATGATGTACGACCAGAGACAGAAGTCCATGGGGCTGCCCACCTCAGATGAGCAGAAGAAACAGGAGATTCTGAAGAAGTGAGCAACTGAGAGATGGGGGTTTGGGGAAGGTGTCTGAGGCTTGGACCTGGGTGACAGCAACGAGTGTGTACTGAGCGGAACACAGGAGCTGCCCTGCCCCTTCCAGGATGAGCCAGCCAAGTTTATGGCTTTATAGCCTTGGCTTGCCTCCCGTAATCACTTGGTGAGGTCATCTTGAGGGCAAGGCCACCTCAGGGTAGGAAGGGGTAACAGGCGGTCATTGTCACCGACAGAAAAACAGTGCCAGTGTTGGCACCTCAGCTTTCAGCCTCAGGTCCTCAAATGGGCCTTAGAGAGAGTCCTTGGGGCCTGGCTCCAAGTTGCTCAGCGTTCTAGAGTTTAGACCTCATGTGGGGAGCTAAGAGAAAGGGACTAATTTGGGGGAGAGGGATGGCCTGTTTCACCTTCTTCCTACTTTCCCTCCCCAGGTTCATGGATCAGCATCCAGAGATGGACTTTTCCAAGGCCAAATTCAACTAGCCCGTGTTTGCCTCCCTGAACTCTTGGGGCTGAACTCCCAGCTACCCACCTTCCTTTCCCACCCTTCCCTGGGACTTGTGGGCCTCAGGGCTGGGGCAGGCGTGGGGCTGACCCACACACAGGTCTGAGGGCATCATGGGAAAAGGGCTGGGGCCTTGGGGGTGTCTTGTTTCATTTGGCCTGCTGTTACACATTAAAACTATTTACCCAATTCCACCTGTGTCCTCTCTTCCCTCTGGCCTTTCCCTGGGGGACAGGCCTCTTATGGCTGCTGCTGGGATCTGGGGGCTTGTCTTCTAGCCCAGGTTCTGCCATGTGATCAAGGGCAAGTCCTTGCCCCTCCCTGGGGCTCAGTTTCTCATTACTTAAATGGAGGATTTAAACAAGGCTTTTAGTCTGTGTATGATTCTGAGCAAAAGTGGCCAAAGGGACCAGAACATATGTCAGATTCTCACAGGGGCCCATGACTCAGCAAAGTTTAAGACCAGCCCGGCTTGATTCCATTTTCATCTCCAAGACAATTTCCCACAGCAATGGGTCTGTCCTCTAGCCCTGGAGCGAGTGTTTCTGAGACTACACTCTTATTTCCCAGGGGCAGAGAGCAGCAAAGGCTGGGGAGCCGCCCAGGCCTCAGATTGGCTGTGTGTGTGGTGGGGATCTGGCCGGGAAGGCAGGGTGAAGCCCAGTGGAGCCTATTGTGTGTCTCTGACCTGGACCTCTGCAGATGGTAGGGCTTCACAGTGAGCCACTGAGGGAGTGCCAGGGCTGGAGAGGTGTTCCCTTCGGTCCACATCCAGCCACCAGAGCTGACCCTTTGGTGGGAGAGTACAGGTCACAGCGCAGGGTGCCACAGAGGTCATGGTTACAGCAAGAATGTCTAGGTTGGCTTGGCCAGGGTGCTACGCTCCGTGGGCCGTGGGTGACCCCTGAATTTCTGGAACACAGCATGTCTGTCCTTTTGGCATTTCAGAATAGCTTGTTAAAGATTTAAAGAAGGTATGCAGTGTTTGGCTTTGTCTGTTTACCAAACTTATAAACCCTCTTTTCCGGGAATGCCAGTAGTAGTTCCCAAGGCTAAGCTTGGAAAATTGTGCTCTCGGGCCAAGGCTAAGATGGAAGGACTGTGGCATCACTCTCCTACTCTGTCCAGCAATATCCCTGGGCTTCAGTACCCTGTGGTCATTTTTTCTTTTCTTTCTTTATTGGATGCATTGGGTCTTCGTTGCTGCACGTGGGCTTTCTCTAGTTTCGGTGTGCGGGCTTCTCATTGCGGTGGCTTCTCTTCCTGCGGAGCACAGGCTCTAGGCATGTAGGCTTCAGTAGTTGTGGCGTGCGGGCTTAGTTGCTCTGTGGCATGTGGGATCTTCCCCGACCAGGGCTCGAACCCATGTCCCCTGCATTGGCAGGCGGACTCTTAACCACTGCGCCACCAGGGAAGTCTCACGGTCATTTTCTTTACCTTCTTTTTTTTTTTTTGGCCAAGCCATGTGGATGGCATATGAGATCTTAGTTCCCCGACTAGGGATCGAACTCATGCCCCCTGCAGTAGAAATGCAGAATCCTAACCACTGACCACCAGGGAATTTCCGGCCTGTGGTCATTTTCAATTGCAGAGGCCTTGACCTGGAAGAGACAGCAGAGCCTAAGGAAAGGGGCCAGTTTTATCACTGGGCCCTGTGGTCATGGCCACAAGGGACCATCCTGTGTGTCCAATAGGAAACTGAACAGACAAGTACAGTTTGTCCAGTCACTTTCCAAAGGGTGCCCATGAGGGCAACAGAAGGTCGGGGATGGGGGCGCTGCAGGTAAAGTGGGGCAGTGAGGGATCCTGGACACCTAGCTTATCATCAGTCAAGACTGGGCTGCTGGGCCTGCTCCGGTCTCACTGAGAGAACAAACACACCCCTGTGTGTGAGGAGTAGCCAAGTAAGGTCCTTCTGAACCCAGCTGGGCTCTGATGTCCAAACGGGGGGAGCCTGCTTCTCCCCCAAGCAGGTCAGCTTGCCAGCTTGGGGGCACAACTGCCAAGAGGCCAGCTTCCGGATACAGAGCCACAGTTACTAGCTGCATGACCCACTCAATTCCTTGACACCTCTGAGTGCCAGCACCTGTGAAAGAATGACCTGCACTCCTGGGAGTGCTGAGCAGACACCCGTGACCCTGAGTGCTGTCCGCACCAGGGGGACGTGGAGGGAGCAGCAGGTCTGAGGTGGGGTGGGCTGACACGTGCTCCGGGATTTGCGGAAACTGCAGGGATGGCCAGAAGCAGGCCAGCCTACAGGCAGTGAATTGGGGCAACAGAGGGAGTCCAGGCAGGCCTGCCTAGAAGGACCCCTCAACAATGACAGAAACCACTTGGTCAACCCTTCTCAGGCACAGACACTGTGACTGGCTCTATCTCCTAGAACTCACCGTGAGCCTGAGAGATGGGCATCACTGCTCTCAGTTTAGCCTTCTGACCTCAACCCCACGACACTAAGCCAGGCTGGATACTCTATGCTGTCTCCTGCTCCGGGCAGCAGTCAGGCAAATGGGACGGAAAGGACAGTATCACAGTCAAGATGAGCAGACAGATGTCTATTCAGTTTTGTACTATAGTCACGTTAGCATGTAGAACATCAGCCGGGAACCTAACTGCTCAACAGAACGTAACGTGGATTGGGCACTGCCCACAGAATTCCCGAGGCCCTGCCTGCCCCCAAACCCCACCCATTTAAGACAAGCTTCTTTTACCTGTTACCTTCCCTCCCAGCTGTCCTGGGGAGGGGGAGGTTTGCATGATTGGTCATGGGGTGTATGTTACAGGGGGAGCATGTTATGGGGGCAGAGTCAGGATCCAGTTCCAGAAATTAACCCCTCAGTCTTCGCTTTCCATGACCTAGGCTTCCTGAAGACTGTGGGCAGGAAGGAACAGACCCAGGCAGGGGTCAGGCCAGCGGAGGACCCGGGGGATGTGGGCACCGTGGCCCAGTGAAATGCGTGTGGTCCAGGAACCAGTCAGCCAAGGCAGGAGGAGCCAGAGTGGGCACTGCTTCTGGGCTCATGGCCTCCCTCCCACAAAGAGGGTTCTGGTCTCTCTCTTCATGCAGTAGATGTGCTTCTCTCAGAAGGGGTTGCGGCCCCTGGGCCCAGTGCGGGTTAGCAGTAGACCTGGAGCAGGGGTGCCCCTGAAGAGTCTGTGTCGGTGCCCTGGAAGGATGAGTCGTGGCTGGCTTGGTATCCTGAGGGGAAAGGGAGCAGGAAACAGAGGCTCAGAGATGGGGAGGGGCTCACGCAAGTCCCTCAGGCAGGGAGAAACCTGTTGAGAAGGAGCAGAGGGGGACTCGAGCCTGGGTCGGTCTGATCCTGGCTGGGTGATCCACTCAGTTTCTTGACCTCTCTGAACCCCAGTCTCGCTCTCTAAAGGGTAATGACCCTGCTCCCAGGGCTTGTAAAAGCCAAGAGGATAGCAGTAGAAACCACACATGGTGCCTTCTCAGCACCAATGGATGGCCCCCCTCACCCACCCTCCACTTTCCTCTCCAGTGACCTGGGTTTAGATGCAGGTTCCGGGCACCTGCCCCCCTCCCCTCTGGTTCAGGGGCATCCCCCTGAATCTCTCCCAGCTGAACCTTTAAGCCAGTTTGCAGGACTGGGATGGGGTATAAGGCTGCTCAGGCTTCTCGTCCCTTTCTGATCCCATCCTCACCCACCCCAGGAGGAAGCTGGGAGAGGGACAGGTGGGGGGCTGCTAGGGCAGTCCCCTCTCCTCTCCACACTTTCATGTCAGGACCAAACCTGGGGCTCCATAAGGCCTCAGCTTCCTGGCGATGGCATCTGCGGTCGTCTCCTGGGAGATCTGCACTGTGAGTTCTAGGGAGGGAACATGAAGGGGCAGTGGTCATTATCACATCCTTTCAACCATACTCCCCATTTCTGCCCCCAGCCCATTGAGAGAGGGGCCATTCACCCCTGGGCTGGGCTAGGGAAACGATGTTTAAAACAAAGACGCAGGGAGAGAGAGAGAGGGAGAGAGAGAGAGAGAGAGAGAGAGAGAGAGAGAGAGAGAGAGAGAGAGAGAGAGAGAGAGAGAGAGAGAGAGAGAGAGAGAGAGAGAGAGAGAGAGTCTGTTGGTCTGTCTGTGCAGGGATGCGTGGGTGGATAGGGGTTTTGGTTAGGCCAGGCCAGGTCAGAGGTCCAAATTCGCATGGGTTCCTGGGTCCTTTTAACTAGGCTAGCTGGTTGGGCCTGAAAGCTACTCTGGCAGGTGGCAGCAGGGGACAAAGAACCTGTTAGGGGATGTAGAAGAGTGGAGAAAAAGGAGGAGGAAGAGCTGGGACCGGCTGAGGGGGGACCCACAGTGGCCAAAGACCCCAGTGCAACCCTCCCTGTCCAGAGCCTCCTCTACTCTGCCCCTCAGCCCTGTGGGGCCCCACCTACCATCCTGGCTGAGCCCTGAGCCCACCATGGTCTCATGGCCACTGTCAGGGGCAGGGGCAGCAGAGGCAGCCACCCTGGTTGAGCGCCCCTCTGTGGTCTGCGGGCGGGCACGGCTCTTTCGGGTACTGATGCGAATGATGCCGCGTACCAGGCGGCCCTCAGCGTCCTGCTCATCCAGGTGGTAGTCCTGGGTGATGCTGCTGATAAGGTCCGATATCTTACTGGTCTTCTCCAGGAACACAGTGTCTGAGGTGCACTTGGCCAGCTCGTCGATCTGGTGTACACTGAACAGCTCTGTCAGCTTCTTGAAGATGAGCACATCGATCTCTCGGCTGGACATGGAGCCACTGCCTATCTCGGGCAGGTCCAGGTCCGACTCGTGGAAGGAGTAGTACTCCTCAGAGCCTCGGGGACTGCTGGCAAGGGTGCTGGGCAGGCTGTGCCGCGTGGGTGGGGGGTCGGCCAGTGGCTCCTTGCAGCAGGAGTCCGCGTCCAGGGCTGGGGAGGTGGTGCTGCGGTAGGGATACACAGGAATGCCTTTGAGCTTGACGTCAGGGTAGCTGAAGCTGCTCCCCATGGCCGACTTGAGCCGATGGCCGTCCCGCCGGCTGGGGGGGGCACGGTCAGGGCTGGGAGGCACTCCGTTGTGCTCCTTGACCCAGCTGGCTTCAGCAGCCCCTTCAGGGGAGTCCCCAGCGGGCAAGCAGGGGCTGCAGCCCCGCACACAGGCTCCACAGCGCTGGAGGCAATCCCGGCAGCGGCGGAAGCAGAAGGCAGCCCGGCACCAGTCCCACACCCAGGGTCGCCAGAGCAGGCAGCAGGCTGGGGGCTCAGCAGCCTGCTCAGCAGAGCCAGAGATGAAGGTAAGGCTCTCGGGTCCATGGTGGCCGGGGTCCTTGGGGTCTGGCCTACGAGTGCGGCGGCTCGGTGGGGCCCAGGATGGCTCGTCATATGTCTCCAGGCATAGCTCCGTTGGCCGCTCCCAGGGTCCCAAGCGTGGGGGCCCAGATGATGGGCGGGGGTGTCCAGGGCGGGGCATGGCTCACCGCATGGTTTGCCGTAGCCAGGCACCTGTGGGGGAGAGGCCAGGAAGGAGTCAGGATCAGAGGTCAGAGGCGAGCTCCTGCGCTATGACCTGAGGAGCTTCAGACTTCTGGTTTCTGAGAGCTCTGCGATGTGGATGGGCCCAAGTATGCCCACGAGCCCTGTCTAGTATCCCCTTGCTCCCCAGAGAGGAAGCTCTCTCTGTGGTCTAACTATGTATCAGAATCTCCTGGGACTTCACACCCGTTGGGATGGTTACTATTAAAAACAGAAATGACAGACATTGGAGAAGATATGGAGAAGTTGGAACCCTTGTGCATTGCTGGTGGGGATACAGAGTGGTATGGCTGCTGTGGAAAACAGTGTGGAGTTTCCTCGAAAAGTTAAACATAAAATTACCATCTGATCCAGCAATATCACTTCTGCGTATATACTCAAAATGATTGAAAACAGGCACTCAAACAGATATTGGTACACCAATGTTCACGGCAGCATTATTCACAATAGGCAGAGATGGAAGCAACCCAAATGTTCATTGATGGATGAATGAATAAACAAAATGTGGTCTATACACACAATGGAATATTATTCAGCCCTAAAAAGGAATGAAATTCTGATACACGCTATAACATTGATAAGCCTTGAGACGTTATGCTACATGAAATAAGCCTGACACCAAAGGACAAATATTGTATGGTCCCACTTATATGAAATATCTAGAACAGTCAAATTCACAGAGACAGAAAGTAGAATGGTAGTTGCTGGAGATGGGGGAGAATGGAAAGTTAGTATATAACGGGTAGAGTTTCAGTTTGGGAAGATGAAAAAGTTCTAGAGATGGATGGTGGTGATGGTTATACAACAGTGTGAATGTGTTTAACGTCACAGGACTATAACGTTAAAATTACTTAAAAAAATTAAAATGGTAAATTTTATGCATATTTTACCATATAAAAAGAAAGATCTCCTGGGATCTCACTTTCTGGGCAACGGTCTCCCTGAGTTTCTTCCCACTGTTGGTAAGCCCAGCAGCACAGAGCCTCTGAGGCTGCTCAACAAATGCCTCTCCATGGACTTGCTACAGAACCTGATCATTACCACCTTCCCTTTCTTCCCCTCCTCTTTCAAATCAGACATGGGAATCAACAGGTCCCCGGTCAGTATTTCAGTATGGCTCAGATTTGCTCTCCTATCAACGTTTAACATCAAACACTGTTTTGCTTCCTTTGACTAGACAAGAAAGCCAAGCCTCAAAATACATCTTCTTTCCCTTTTCGACTTGGTTGCTAGCAAGCTCAGAGCTAAGATTTCACTGAACCTGGCCCTGTGTTAGGTACAGAAGAACCAAAAATGAATGAACTATAGGCGCTGTTCCTGTGATTCACACATGGTTTTGTAGGGAAAACAGATGCTTAAAAGCTCATGAGCTGGAACACGTAGGATATATGGGGCATCGTGGGAGTAAACAACTCTGCCTGCAGAAACATTACGTAGTGATGTACTTGGGAGGGTCCTTGATCACATGTAGGGGTGTGCTGGGGAGTTACTATCCTTAGCCTGGATTTTCTGAGACATTAATCTCTTAACTTTTTATTTATCCCTGATTTAATGGCACTAGTGTCCTAGAGCTGGTGATGTGAGAGGAACCTGGGACTGGGCATCAGGACGTCTGTATCCTAGTCCCAGTTCTGGCTCTAATAGGCAATGTGCTTTGGGCAAATCAATGCTACCTCCCTAAACTGGCCTCCCACCATCTCCCACCCACTTACTGTCACGGCCCCCATTCTGGCCACCTCTACTCCCTTCTATTTATGGCAGCCAGGGACAATTTAAAACAACAAAACACAAATCTGGAGAAACTTGGCAGACACTACTTATCAAATGATCAAAGTTAACGTTATTAATAATGGGACAAACTGACATGATGTGTCTCCTGATACTATGCACTAAAATGGACACAGCATCGGTTATGGAGTAGTCCTGCCAAAAATGTATAACCTGAATGTAATCATGAAGAAACATCAGACAAGCCCAAGTTAAGGGACATGACTCTAAATGGACTGTGTGATCCTGAATTGAATCCTGGATCACAAGGAGAAATTGGATAATTGGTAAAATTTAAAAATAGACTGTATATTATTTAATAGTATTACGTCAATGTTAAATTTCCAATGTTAAATTCAATGTTAAATAGACAATGTTCTTATTCTTAGGCAACATATACTGAAGCTTTTAGGGGTAAAGAAGCATGATGCCTGCCACCTAACCTCAAAGGGTTCCCCCCAAAACAGAAGGTATATGTGTGTAGACAGAGAAAAGGAGGGAATGTTAGCCATGGTGAATGCGGATGAGGAGGATACAGGAATTCTTTTAACTATTCCTGCAACTCTTCAACCCATTCCCCCAGCCCCGCTTGGTCCTTCTCCAAGGACACTCCAGAACCTCAAGTCAGATGGGAGCCCCTCTCCCCACAGCATTCTGCTGGGCTCTTTGTCAGCTGAGTTGGCTTTGAACCAATTGTTTGAAGATAAGCCTATATGACCCCGAGGGGCAGGGACTGTGTCTGATTCCTTTCTGCATCAGTGTCTGGAACAGGGTTGGTACAGTAAGTACTTCAGGAGACTGATACATTCTGTGTGACCTCTGGGTAGAACCAGGACCATTAGGTAGAAAGAGAAAGGACGTAGGCTCCAGGCTGACCAGAGTGGGGGGAGCAGCAGCCTGGCGAGAGTAAGGTGAAGTCCCCCTCCAAAGGTGTGCAAACTGAAATTGTAATAGGTGACTTGAAAGTCCCTCACAATCCAGAGAGGCAAGTGGTTAAAAACCTTTGCCTGGGTTTGAGCAATGTTGGGGTGGGTATGGATTTATTCATTCACTCATTTAATGAATATTTACTGAGAGCCTGCTGTATGCCAGACACTTCTAAATTCCGTGGATAAAGTGGTAAAACAGACAAAATTCCCTAACCTCAGGAGTTTGCCTTCTAGTGAAAGAGTTAATTATTGAAAGCTTACATTATTCTCAGTGCTTTAAATGTATTCAGCTAATTAATTCTCACAACGCTATTTGTAGGTATTATTGTTATTGTTGTTATACAGAGGCACAGAGAGGTTAACTAAGTTGTCCAAAGTCACACAGCTGTTTGAATGCAAGTGGCCTGGCCCAGACTCTTATCCACTACCCCATCCCATCTATTATTTGGGAGGAAGGGGGCAAAGTGGTCAGCTGCCAGCTCCATGGGTGAGCCTGTGCCCAAGGAGGGCCTGCATAGGGAGAGCCCTGAGTCTTCCAGGCTCAGCCCTTGGATCAGGAGGGTGGGCACATCTACACTGTTTGAACCACACTGAGCTCTGGGGTACCTGGGGTTTGTAAGAACAACAAGAGGTTATTGTTCATGGTCTTGGTTACTGTCTCCTCCTCTACCTCCAAGGTTTTAGCAGTCGCTACCATTCATTAAATTCATCCAACAAATATTTTCTGAGCACCTACCATGTGCTCAGCACTGTACTAAATGCTGAGGAAGCAGCAGCAAATGGGCCAGAAATAGGCTCCAGCCCAAGAGGACTTCTGCTTTATTTGACACTCACAATTGCTCGGTAAGTATTCTATCTCCACTTTACAGGTCAGGAATCTGAAGCTCAGAGAGGTGAAGTGACTTGCCCAGAGACACCTAGCTGGAAAGGAATGGAGCTGGATTTGTACTGTGGTCCGCCCGACTCTGGAGCCCCTGTACTTTGCTCTGTGCCACACATCTCGAGGAGGGGGTGGGGCAGGGTGGGATGGAGGAAAGGGGGAGAAGACCTGGGGTAAGGACAGTGCTTGGCTTCAGTTTTCCCCTCCTTTCTAGGCCCTAAACCCTCCTAAAGTCAATCTCAACCCATTTTGTCCTGGCTCTATCTCCCCCTCACTGCTGCTGCCCCCACCTCCAAAATCCTAGGAACACCAGCCTCGGTTTAGCAGGGGCTCCTGTTGTGGCCTGGGGTAAGGCTCCTGGCCTCAGTTTTCTTGTCTTTACCAAGGGGAGTGAGGAGTATCTTCAGGGGCCACCTTGAGGTTTAAATGAGATCTTACTGCTCAGGGTCCTTAGAGCTGTGCCTGGCATCTGGGAGGGGCTGGGTCACTGGGCGCCCCAAGGCACTGCAGGGATCCTCCTCAGGGTCAGAAGCTCCCAGGCCCCAGGCACACCCTCCCCAAACTTCTAATTGATGCTCTCCCACTCCCCCTTAGTCCCTGAAAATACACACACTCCGAGGTCTGTCTCCGTCCCATCCCCTTCTTCCGAAGGTGCTCAGGTCAGGACCGGTCGCACCAGCCTGTGTCCCACCCACTCGAGTCTTGCACACCCGGCCGAGAGGGGCACCCCAGCTCTGCTCACGAAACAGCCGTCGGCTCTCGTGCCTGGCATCCGTGCACCCTTGATCTCCTGCCCCAAAGGCTCAGCCCGGGACTCCCGCATTCGCGGGCACCGAGTCCCGGGGGCAAGGGAGAAGCAGACCCAGGCACTGCCGCTCGGACTAGCATAGCCCCTACAGCAGCAATGCCCTCGGGGCAAGCACCAGCTTCTCCAGATGCAGGGGCCCTCTTCCCGCGGGCGGACCCAGCCTCTCGACACTGTTCCTCAGGGTGTGCACGGCCCCCTCTCCCCTCCCGCCCCCGCCTCCCCGGCAAGCACGGCTCCCACCCCAAGCCAGCGCAGCCCTAAGGGCGAACACGGCCCCCTCACCCCAGTTTGCCCGCCCAGCCCAGGCGCCCGCTCAGGCCGCTCCCTGGCCGGGCCCGGCCCGCGCACCCCGGAAGTGGGAGGGTGGCACCGATGGAACCGGCCCCGGGACCCTCGCACGCTCGGGCGTAGCCTCGGGGGTCTCTCCACACCGGTGCCGCCTTGGTTCGCGCCCCCTCGGGCCCGCGCGGGGCTTACCTGTCCCGCCAGGTGAGCCGCCTCCAGCTCGGCCCCTCCCCCCGCCCCCCTCGCCGCTCACCTGGGGCGCAGGTGAGCGTCTCGCGGGAGCGCTGCACGGGTCGCCGCTGGGGACACACTTCCTGCCTCCGCGAAGCGCCTCCGCCGCGCACCTGGGCCGAGGCCCCGCCCTGGGAGCTGGGCGGGCACTGCGGCCGGCCTCCGGCCCTCCGTCCGCAGACTGCGAGAGCAGCACTCGGCCTAGTCCGGGTAAGTGAGGTGTGGCGGGCACGGTGGACAGACGCCGGGGCTCAGTTTGCTTTTCTGTTAAATGGACAGATGGGCCCAGCAATCTCTGAGCTGCTGCGGAGGACTTGCCGGGCCTTAAAGGCTAAGCTCAAAGGGCGTGTCTCCTGAAACTCCTTCCCTGACCCCTACGCCTGTCTGGTTTTCTCTGTACTCTTTATCATAATACTCAGCACACTGTTTTCTTGTCTTCCGTCTCCTCCTTTAGCCTGTGACTAGGGTATGCTCTTGTTCCCAAATGCCCCGGGTGCCCAGAGCAGGACCTGGCACATCCTAGGCACTCAGCAGATATTCTCTACTGATTGAATCGTTGGGACCTGATTTCTCCGTTTGTCCTGAGGCAGAACTGGGGGCCTGGTTCCTCTGCTCTGATCAGTTCACCTTCTTTTTTCCAGGAAGTCTGCAGAGGAAGACAGAGGCCTCTGCTCTGGGGCGGGTGGAAGAGGAGACTGGGCTGTGCAGTCCTGAAACATCCCAGATCAGCAGAGTTGGCCACAATGGGCCATGATCACCGCATCCCATGGGGTTTCTGCAAGAGGCAACATCATTGGGTGGCAAGAGTCAGAGGTTGGATTATTCTGGGTTCCTGCTCCCCTTAATACCAACTTAATAACAACAATAGCACCAATAAACAAGTGACTTTTAGGGAACATCTCCACGATCCATGCTAACCCCCTTACTTGCATAGTATTATTTAGTCCTTACACCTGAGGATAACACCTCAGGTGTTATCATTCCCATTTTACAGGTGAGGAAACTGAGACTTAGGATGGGGAAATTATTTGCTCAGGCAGTTGGCCCAAATGGTGTGACTTTGGGCAAGACACTTCCTTCTCTAAGTCTTATCTGTGGAGATAATAGTACCTCTCTCCAACTGGGAGAATTAAAAAAGATAATGGATGCAAAATGAGTTAAAGGATACAGGAAGAGATCACTGGGGTAAGGATTGGTAAGTGGGAGGAGTTCAGTACTGCCTAGCCCTTTTCACTCCAGGTGTACCAAAGATACACAACCTCCTAAGCCTAGATGGAGATACTGCCAATTAGGACAGTATCTTTGTCTGCCCTGTTTGAGTTGCCTAGTCCTCTCCTTGCCCAGCCAGGGTGGGACACTCCTTGGAAGCTAATTCCTATGGCAACTGGGGGGTTTCCTTCCCTATCTCACCTCTCAGGACACCATTGTCTCATTCCACAGGTGCCCTGCCATGTGCACCGAGTAGATGCTCAATTTCCACCAGAGACCCTCCTTGGCAGTCCCTCCCACCAGATCTTGTTCACATTCTCACCTGGGGCAACTGGCCGTTATACCTTCATTTGGAGCTCAGAAATTGAGTCACATAGTGTACAATTGAACATCTGTGTGCCCTAAGACCCAGTAAGTGCATTCCTGTGTTACAGACACAAGAATTTCACACATATGCCAAGAGACATGTACAAGAATGGTAGTAGAAACATTGTTCACAGTAGCCCCAAACTGAAAACATCCAAATGCCATTGACAGGAGGTAAAGAGATGTGGAATAATTACATAGCAGTAGAAAATGAGTGAAAAATAGCAGTATGGCTGGATCACGGTGACATAATACTGAGTGAAAAAAATGCAAGTCCCAGAAGAGTGCATGTGGAATGGTATCCTTTTCATAAAGTTCAAATACAACTAGAAGTACTATATTTAGGCATAATATTGGGTTGAACCATATGAAGTTGCTGTTTTTGACCTGTTTTGACCTAAAAAAAGGGGGAGAGGGCAAATTCAGAAGGTTAAACATAATTTATGTGTGAAAAAAAACCAAAAAAAAGGCAAGAGAATGAGGAACACAGAATTCAGAATAGTGATTGCCTGGGGGTGGGGTAGTGGAGGGGTCAGGAATGGTGGGGAACCATAAGCAGATTTAAGTTTTAGTGATGTTCTGATTCTTGTGTTGGATTCAAGGACTTTCATTTTATCATGAATGAATGAATGCATGAAAAAAGTAGCAACTTATGCTGTAACTAAATAATTAAGGGCACGGTTACTTGCCAGGTTTTCAAGGTAGCAAAAATCCAAGCATCTGGAACCTTATTTAGTTTTCCCCCATTCATTTATTCATTCTCTTTTTTAAAGATAAAAGTATAATTTACATACAGTAAAACTTACCTTTTTTAGGGTACAGTTCTGTGAGTTTTGAAAAATACATACAGTTGCATAACCACCACTACAAATCAAAATATAGGTCAATTCCATCACCCCCCCGAATTTCCCTAAACCCTTCTGCAATCAGTTCCTCCCCACTATCTCACCTTGGCAACCACTGATCTTTCTTCTGTCTTCATAGTTTTGCTTTTTCCAGACCATGTTTAGTAAAAGTACATTATAAAATTCTGATTCTGTAGTACCTAAAATGCTGTACGTTAATAAGTAGGAACGTGATGATTGAAGCAGCTCAGAACTACTTTCTTTGTCTAGAAAGGAAAAAAAAGAAAAAAGGGGAAGGAAGGGAAATATGATCTCTGAACCTCCGCCTGCACTTGCTGATGTGTGAGGGAACCTTTCTCTGGAGCCCCTGCCTCTCACCAGCTGTGGGGCCCTGGAGAAGCCACTTCCCTTCTCCTCATCTGTAAAATGGAGATGATAATAGTTCCTCCTCCAGAGTGTTTTGTGGAGTACTTTGCAAAAGGCACAAGTTAGCTGGTATTTTAATCATAGCCACACTGAAACCTCTCTCCTCATCTGCCCTTCTCCCTCCCACACTCAAATACACTGGGCCTTGTTTCCAAGGGCCCATACCCCTGGCCACAGTGTATACTGAAAAACTCTGTCAAAAACTGATGACAGTGTAGGTATATACCCAAAAGAACTGGAAACAGGGACTCAAACAGGTACTTATATGCCAGTGTTCATTGCAGCACTATTCACCATAGCCAAACGGTGGAAAACTCAAGTGTCTGTCAACAGATGAGAGGATAAACAAAATATAGTGTATACGCACAATGGAGTATTATTTAGCCGTGAAACGAATGAAGTTCTGATACATGCTACACCATAGATGAACCTTGAAGACATCATGCTAAGTAAAATAAGCCAGACACAGAAGGACAAATATTGTGATTCCACTTATATTAAATATTCAGAATAAACAAATTCATAGAGACAGGGATTAGAGGTTTCCAGGGGCTGGAGGGAGGGAGGAATTGGGAGTTATTGCTTAATGGGTACAGAGTTTCTCTTTGGGATGATGAAAAATTTTGGAAATAGAAAATGGTGATGGTTGCACAACAGTGTGAATGTAATTAATGCCACCGAATTGTAACTTAAAAATGGGCAAAATGGCAAATTTTCTGTATATATATATATATATATATATATATATATATATATATATATGTTGTTGTTTCTGTTTGTTTGTTTACCACAATTAAAAAAACCCCAGGGATTCCCTGGTGGCGCAGTGGTTGACAGTCTGCCTGCCGATGCAGGGGACGCGGGTTCGTGCCCGGGTCTGGGAAGATCCCACATGCTGCGGAGCGGCTGGGCCCGTGAGCCATGGCCGCTGAGCCTGTGCGTCCGGAGCCTGTGCTCCGCAACGGGAGAGGCCACAGCAGTGAGAGGCCCGCGTACCGCAAAAAAAAAAAACAAAAAAACCCAACCCAATGGGCTTCCCTGGTGACGCAGTGGTTAAGAATCTGCCTGCCACTGCAGGGCACACAGGTTTGAGCCCTGGTCCGGGAAGATCCCACATGCCGTGGAACAACTTAGCCCGTGTGCCACAACTACTGAGCCTGTGCTCTAGAGCCCGCGAGCCACGACTACTGAGCCCGCGTGCCAAAGCTACTGAAGCCCGCGCGCAGCAGCGAAGACACAATGCCGCCAAAAATAAATCACTTAAAAAAAAAAGAAAAGAGAAGATTAAAAAAAAAAAAGTCCCCAACGGAATTCCCTGGAGGTCCACTGGTTAGGACTTGGTGTTTTCACTGCTGAGGGCCTGGGTTCAATCCCTGGTCAGGGAACTATGATCCTGGCTTGGCCAAAAAAAAAAAAAAAAGCCCCCAAACTGATGACATTCTTTGAAAACAAAACAAGGTACCTTATGGGTCCAGCATTTAGCATAACAAAGGAGAGAAGTCTATTGGAGTGAAGTTTCCAGATAATAGTCCTCCTCTCCTGTGCACTTCTCTTTACAGTTTACAAAGCAAACACCTTTAAATTTGAAACTTACAACAAAGGATCAAGCCCTAGAGGTAGCCATGGTCATATTCATTTTACAGATGGGGAAACTGAGGCACATCAAGGTCCCAAGGCCATACTGTGAGTTAGTAGTGGAGCTGGGTGGGAACCCAGTCCTTCTGGCTCCCAGTAAGAAACACTGTGTCCTCCTCCTGGCCCTTAAAGCTGTGTTTGGGCTTCTTTCTAAGCAGAAAGTCCTGCCTTTCTAACCACCTGAGTTCAGTTTTTCCTCTTGGCCACAATTGGGGACCATTGTCCTGATCCTCTGCTTCCACCGCTGTTGCTCTGTTCTGATCGATGTTTACTTTTCTGGTCTCCTTCCTCGGCCACCATTCAGGCTCCTGGACTGGTGAAAGAATGAGGGGGAGAGGGAGGTGTCAAGGATGTCTGGGGTTCTGGCTTGTGCTAGTGGATGGATGGAGATGACTGGGGAGGGCAGGTTTGGGGTATAAAAGTATAAACATGGAGTTAGACCTGTTGAATTTAAGGATTTGTGAGATGGCCAAGAAATATCATGATTGTATATATGGATGACATTCACAGTGATACTCAGAAGATATAAGACCTGCAGCTTTGGGTGTGAGGAGAAGCAGTGGGTCAGGGGAGTGTGGGCAGTGGAGTGTGGATCCATGGGTATGTGCTCCTTGCCTCTGGTGTGCTTCTCCCATAGGGGGCACTAGGGGGCAGCACTCAACGGCAGAAATTGCCAGAACTTCAGAGTCACAGGATCTAAGTTGGAGTCCTAGATATACCCCTGTTCAGCAGCAGTGTGAACTTATCTCTTTGAACCTCAGCGTTTCTCAACCTAAAATGGGATTCATGTGAGGTAGTACAGAGCGGTGTTTCAGAGTTTGAACTCTGGAGCCAGGGAGCCTGAATTTATGTCCCAATTCTGCCACTTGCTAGCTGTGTGACTTTGACCACATTACTGAACTTCTCTGTGCCTCAGACGCCTTGTCCACAATGTTAAAGTAGTAATAGTTTCATGTGGTGATTACTACAGAGGCCAGCACATGGTAATTAAATGACAGCTATTTTATTTTAACCCCTTCTTCCTGCCCCCTCTCTGCCTCCCCAGCTATTCTGGGGCCAGGACTCTCAGAGGCCAGACCACTGCCTCTGAGAATAAGCAGGAGAACACATTACTATGACTGACCATAATCATCTGTTATGTGTTAGGTATATTATGAGCCTTATTCCCATTTAATCCTCACAATAACTCAGTGAATATAGATCCCAGCTCCTTATTTTATAGCTAAGAAAACAGAGGTTCAGAGATTTAAGCCTCTTGCCCAAGTTCACACAACTAGTTAAGGGGCAGAGCCCAGAACTGAGCCCAAGTTCTTTCTGTTCAGAGCCTGAGCTCTTTGCAGTGTCTCCTCGGGATACCACTGAAACTGGGCTCTGGAGAATGCCCCAGGCCCCAGCAGAATGGGGGAATTCTCCCCTCAAGAATTCCCTTCTGTAATCAGCTCTAATTCTACTTACCATACCTCTCTTTCCCAGATATAATTTCCTGGAATTCTGAATGGCATAAATGGAATGGAACCACCTGAAAGGGAACCCCATGGGAATAGAATGGTGGAGGATGAACAGAATTGGAACATGGAAGTTGAGGCTGTCTTGGCTCTTCTGATTGGTCAGTCTGTCTATATTTGTCAAACAGTGGGCCAATGACCATTCAGAGTTGCCTCTCCCCTTTCCTTCTTTGGCTAAAGGATGGTGTTCCTGGAGGCTGGATAGAACCAGGGGAGTCCTGGAGTTATGCTGGGGAATGTTGGACAAGTAAGCTGGGCTCTGGGCTGGGCTGATAATGTGGTTAGAGGTGTAGTTGGAGCTGGGCTATAAGTGCTCTTGGAACTCTAGGTTGGGCTGTTGAGAGGGAGACCCCAGGTCCACCTGACACTGGGGGAATTACTGGGGCTCCCTGGCTTTAGTTTGCATGGCACCCAGTTGCTAGGCCTGGAGGGAGCTGCAGGCTAAGAAGCCATCCTGTACCAGGTTGAGCCGGTGGCTGCTTCTTTGGTTCTGAATTTGGTTCTAAGCTCTAGTAGAGGTATTTTCTGCAGCGTCCTCATGCTGGAAGAAACTTCATCCAACTCCTTCAGTTTACTGATGAGGAAATAAGGCTCCTGAAGAGAATGGCTTTAGCTGAGGTCACATAGTGAATAAACAGTGGGCCCTGGAGGAGGTGGTGTCAAGACAGGCTCGGTTCAAATCCTGCCTTTACCACCTAGTGCTTTGTGAGCTGGGGCAGCAACCCAGCCTCTCTGGGCTTTAGTTTCCACAACAGTAAAATCTATTCATTCAGCCCTTCTCTTGCCTAGCCTCTACCTCACCCCCGGTACTGCTCCCTCACTCTCTTACACACATTCACACACAACACAACACACACACAACACACACACACAGCGGCTGGGACACACATAGCCGATGCTGAGTCTCCCGGTCCCTCACAGGGAACAATAGGCAGCTCTGGCCACTGAACACCACCCCCAATTTCTGGCTCTCTCCCCCCGCCCCCAGCCAGTCTCACATCCCCTATTAAGCCTTCCCAGAGAGGCCCCAGCTAGAAGGCTGTCTCCCTGAGTTACCGCAGAAGGCTGTCTCAGCCCTCCTCTGATGCTTTCCCTCTCCCAAGACAGGAGCTCCTGGAGAGTAAAGTCTAGTCTGATTCATCTCTGAGTTCCCAGCACCCAGCTCAGGACAGGGTCCAAGGGCTATGGCTGGGAATGTTTGTGGGAGGAGTAAGTGGAGGAAGCCCCTCCAACTCCTCCCCTTTCTTGGGAGCCCCCCCAAACCACTGATGTGGCAGAAAGAACCCTGGAGTGGGGGCTTACATAGACCTAGGATGAAAACTCAGCCCAGACTCTTCCTAACTGTGGGTACGTGGGACATGACCTCACTTCTCCAAGCCTCAGTTCCCTCTTCTATAAGTAGCCTTTCTGGGATGTGGATGTTTAAGCTGAGAACTGGAAGACTTAGACAGAAAGACCTAGAGGAAGAGTCTTCTGGGCAGAGTAAGGAGCTGGTGCAAATGGCGCAAGATGGAGATGAGATTGGCATGTTCGAGAAACAGAAAGGAAGCTAGCATTGCTGGAGTGCATTGAGCAAGGGGAGCGTGACTGGTGGTGCGGTGGAGACGTGGCGGGCACTGGACTGCACAGGGCTCAAAGGCCACTGAAGAGTCTGTCTTTTAATCTAAGTGATATAGGAAGTAACTGGAGGGTCTCAAGTGGGGGGTGGTGACTTGATCTGGCTAATACCCCAGAAGTTTCACTCTGGTCCCTGTATGATGATTGCTGGAGAGTAAGAGTGGAGGCAGGGAGTCCAGTGAGGAGGCTTTGGGAATAATCCAGGTGAGAGTGACAGTGGCCTGGACCAGGGTGTGCCTGGGAAGGAGGTGAGAAGTGGCCGGATACATGATATATTCTGGATGTGGACCCCACAGGACTGGATGTGCCAGACATTGGCAGAGAGGGCTCAGGATGGCCCTTGGTTCAGTTATCTATTGCTGAGAAATAAACCACCCCAAAACCTAGTGGCTTAAAATGATATATTATTTCTAAAAATTCTGTGGTTCAGTGGGGGTCAGCTGGCTAATTCTGCTGGTTTTGCCTGGTGTCGCTTATGGGGCTGCATTCAGCTGGGAGCAGCGGGGGCTCAATTACCATGAGGGCATCGCCTCTCTCAGGACCTCTCATCACCTGGTCTCTTACCATTCAGAAGTCTGCCTCACAGCTCCACGAGTACGTGCCTCAGGATGGCCCGTACTACGGATCCACTGGCAAAGGAGATCTTTAAAGGAGTTTGAGTAGCTGAACTGTGAGCATTTTTTGGAACATATTTTGTGTTTGAGAAGAAGAGCACAAGCCAAGATGTCAGGCAAACAATGAACAAGAAATTCCCCTTCATCTTGGAAGTTTATTACAAATCCATTGAACATTCTGGAATGTTACACAATCAAGAGCAAGGTCAAGAAAAGTGGCTTAGCAGCAAAAATTAGAAATTTGACCATCGATCAAGGTTTGCCCTATTTCATAGTATCAGGCAAGATTAAAATTCCAAAATTGACATGGGTGGATTTTAGAATATTTCAGGTTAAATGTAAATTCTAACTAAGCCAGAGGTTTTGTTCTTTGGACTAACTGTGAAGAAATTGATGGAAGGTTTGTTTATTATAAATGGAGTTTTGTTCACTACTCAAAATAAAGTGGTTCTCCTTAAAAAAAAAAAACTCCCCTATGATTCTGAATACATAAACCTTTCAAAATAGATAAAATAGTAAAACTTCTATTTTAAATATTTATCACATTTTTTCTTTTTCATTATAGTATATTACAAGATATTGAATATAGTACCCTGTGCTATACAGTGGGACCTTGTTGTTTATCTAATTTATCCCCCTCTCCTTTCCCCTTTGGTAACCATAGGTTTGTTTTCTATGTCTATGAGTCTGTTTCTGGTTTGTAAATAAGTTCATTAATATTTATTACATTTTAAGTCACACATTTAAAATCATATTATCTAAAAACATATTAACTAGAAATATTGCTTTTATCCATTTTCACTTTACCTGAAACCGTATTCAAACTCTACATAAATGTCTCTGGTATTTACTACTAGAGCCACTTTGGAATAAAATTTGTCATAAAATTCAAAAAACAAGCAAACAAAAAAGAAGTCTAGCTGACCTTCACAGCGAGGCACCTGGCTTCCAAGAGGACAAGCCCCACTGTGCAAGTGCTTATTGGCTCTTTGCTTCCTTCATGCTTCTTGGCATCCCATTGGCCAAAGAAAGTCACATAGCCAAGCCCAGAGTCAGCATGGGAGGAGACACACAAGGGCATGGATACATGGAGGCCTGCTTCATTGGAGGCCACCAAAGTAACAGTTTAGCACAACCCCCTGGGTTTGTGGTTTAAGGAAATGGGTGAAATTCAAGGGTAGAGGGGAAAGAACAGGGTTTGTTGGAAGTGGTAGGGTGGTGGTGCAGTGTCCCGCCCCAAGATCTCCCAAGTGAGCCACTGAGGAGGAGAGTAGGCTTGGGAGAGCCAGCAGCAGTGGACAGTCAAAGTCCCCGGCAAGTATGGTGAGGCAGGGGAGGGGGTGGTAATCAAGGTAGAGAACCTGAAAAGCCTCTAGGCCATTCCCTCACTCAACAGGCATCACTGAGCCCCTACTCTGCGCCTTGCCCTGGTCTGACTGCTGCAGACACAGAGAGGAGTAAGACTTGGCATGTGACCTTGGAAGACAGATCATACCCACAGGTGCCAACACAGTGTGAGAGGTGGCAGCTTAGTGCTGCAGTGGAAGGTTGTCCAGGGCATTTTGGGGTCTCAGGGGAGGGATTCCAGGAGTGGTTCCCAATGGAGGAGTACTAGAAAAATAAATAGACAAGACAGTGGAGCTGGAGTAGATAGAGGCCAGACTGCCCCAGCCTGGGCCCTATAGCTGCCTTCTAGCCATGGCAGTGAAGAGGTGAAAGCAGGCCCACAAGTAGGCTCTGGGAAGACCACCTGCAGATATTATTCTTCCCATTTTATGGATGAGCAAACTGAAACTCAGAGCGGGTAAGTCATTCAACCGAGGTCCAGCTCCTCACATCCTGGGCTTCTTTCCACACTGTTCAATTCTTGCTGAAATCATAGGGATGGTTGGGAAGGGCAGGATTCTCTCTTGAGCTTGCAGGGATGTGCCCAGAGGCTGGCGTGGGAGCTGCTGTGGAGTGCCCCTCCCTGGGTCCTGGCTTCGTGCCACCTCCCCTAAGTAAGGTAGAGCCCTGTGAGGAGACATTAAGGGAGGTGGTGACGCAGACTGGGGATGGGCAGACCCAGACTTGGAGCCCCCAGTCTGAGCAGGCTTGCCCTCAGGCCCCTCCTGTGGAGTCCCACCTTCAGGGGCCCTCTGTCTGAGGGACGAAGGATGGAGGGCAACTGTGTGGAGGTCAGAGGCCTGGGCCAGGGGAGAGCATGGGGTACCTCTGACTAGGGCTGGGATGGGTTCCCTATAAAGTGAGGAAAGGTGCAGAGTTGCCAGGTTTAGCCCTGGGGGCTCAAGTGAAGGGATAGGAGGGAGGCTGGGAGCTTAGAGTCTTGCTTCAACCCGAATGACCTTGAGTTTGTCCCATTCTTCTATGACCTTGAGTTTGTCCCACTCTTCTAGGCTGGTGCTGTGGGTCCCAGCACTCCACCAAGTAGAGCCACTAGCACAGGAGCTCAATAATTCACGAGCCAGCTGGGCTCTGGCCTCCCTGCAGAAGGGAAAGGCAGCCCTGCATCCAAGCCGACCCCCATCCAAGCACCACATCCAAGCTGCTCCTTCCTCCCAGCTTGTCTGGGGGTGGCAGTGGGGGGAGTGGCTGCTGAGCCCAGGCCTAGATACAGGAGGAGGGGGCACATGGAGGAGATGGAGGTAGTGGGAGGGGAGGTCCTGGCATCTGATGCGCTCACAGCAAAAGCTTCTTTTCCTTGGAGCCAAGGTGCTCTGCAGCAGGTGGGGCCGGGGAGGGAGGCTGGGGGGAGGGGAAGGCAGAATCAGAGAAAGACCTGGCAAGGAAGATAGAGACACACCTAGAGAGAGTCAGAAAGAGACAGAAGTGAGAAAAAAGGCTGAAGCAGGTGTAGTGGGTATGAATATGGGTGCACACAATCAGGTAGGGAAGATACAGGCTATTTTAAAAAACCCACTCAGAGCTCTCATTCCATCTGGCTGGTGGGAAATCCAGTTTCCATTATTGTTGGACTCTCTCAAACCATGACAGCCCGTAGGGTTGGGCCAAGGCCCAGAGGTGTTACAGAACCAGACATGAACAAGGTCCTTCAGTCTGGTCACCAGGCCTCCCTGGTCACCTGACCAGCATGACCCTGTCAGGTCAGGGACTGTGCCATTCAGTGCCAGCCATGCTTGGCACATGGAATCTTTGGTGATCTAAGGGACATTTAATATGGGGTCCAGTCTTCTGAATGCCACTTGTCCCCTTGAATCCAGGGCCTAGATCCATCCATTTCCTGGGATCGGGAAGCCTGAACTGCCACTCCCACAGTGGGAGAAAGAGCCTCCCACTGTGGTCCCTGGAAGCTCTGGGCAGTTTTCTGCCCCAGAGCCATACCCTTGCATCCCCGTGGACCCTGGGTCTGGGAATCTGTCCCTTAGCAGAGTCCTTGTTCCTTAGCATCCTACAGCTGAGCAGCTGAGGCCAATGCAGTGGTCCTTCTGGAGCCTGGAGGATGATCCCCAGATCCTCCACCAGCCACCCCTGTGGTGGTGGGGATGGCAGACAGGCAGAGCAGGACCCTCGTTGTGAGTGAGCAGGAGGGACTTGATCCAGAGCCAGATGGTCATTAAAGTATTCAGAGCAAATTTACCTGTGCCTGTGGTCGGCCAGGACCTACCCTGGTCTTTAAGACCCCCCATCCCCCCACCCATGACCTGGTCCTTACATATTTTATTGTAAAAATTTTACTGTGAAATATACATATAGAAGAATATATGTGTGTATATCCATGTATATATACATACATATAAAAAATAAAATATATGTATTATTTAAACAGTAAAAAGGAAGACACCCACCACTAGTTTAATGGGACATTTCAGTACTTTTGAAGCTCTCTGTATGATCCTCCTCTGTGGCCTCCCCTTTCCTCATCCTTCCAGAGAAAAACATCCTGAAAATAGTGTTAATCATTCCCTTAATGGTGTTAATCATTTGGGCTGATTTATCCACTGGACACAATAAGCATCGTACCTAGGAGTCTCAATACTTTTAGGGGTCCACAAAAACGTTTTAATTTCTTTTGTAATGAGAGCTGATTTATGCTGCACACTTTAAACTTGTACATAACTGTATGTTAATTATATCTCAATAAAACTAAAAAGAAAAATCAGAGATGATTGAATAAATGGAGAGAAGAGACATTTTCCTTATGGAATTCCAAATATATGTAGATAACCTCCCCTCCAGGAGGGGGCACTTTATCAGCTTAATGGTGCTTTATACCTAGTTTGCTGAGAATTATTTTTTCTTTCTTTTTTTTAGTTTGCTAAGAATTTTTAACATAAAAAATTGAATTATCAGGTGCATTTTCTGTATAGATTGAAATATTCACTTGGTTTTCCTCCTCTAACATTAATATGATTAATTACACTAGTAGATTTTCTAATGTTGAATCAAACTTCCTAGAATAAACTCATCTTGGTCATGATGTGTTTATTATCATTTTTTTCTGTTATTATTATTTTTTTTGGTTGCACCGCGTGGCTTGCAGGATATTAGTTCCCCGTCCAGGGATTGAACCCGGACCTCAGCCGTGAAAGTGCTGAGTCCTAACCACTGGACTGCCAGGGAATTCCTGTGTTTATTATATTGTAAATACATTGCTAGATTTAGCTTGTTAATCTTTTGTTTAGGGCATTGACATCTATGTTCTTAAGTAATATTGTTCTGTAATTTTTCTTTCTCATACTGTACTTGATCATTTTTGATATGAATTTTTATTTCTCCACGAATTTGTCTATTTTACCTTTGTTCTAAATTTGTTGTCATAAAATTGTTTCTAATATTCTCCAGTTATCTTTTAAATCTCTACTATAGCTGTAGTTCTGTAGTCCTGCTCTTCAAATTTAACATTGTTTATTTGTGCCCACGCTCTAGAGCCCGCAAGCCACAACTATTGAGCCCGCGTGCCACAACTACTGAAGCCCGCGTTCCTAGAGCCAGGAATTTCTTCCTGGCTCAGTCTTGCCAGGAGTTTCTCAGTATTGTTTCTGTGTCAGTTAGGAATTAGATTCAGCTGGAAGTATCAGAACCCCCCCGCCCCCACCCCGCCACAGCACAACAGCTCACTGTTCTACCATCCCTAGAGTGAGGCCCTGGTCTTAAGGTCCTTGATGGCATCCACCACATCTGTGTTTCTGACAGCAAGGTGGAGAAAAGAAAGAAAAAGGTAGAGGCTGTGGGTCACTTCTTCCCACTGGCTGCTTAACATCTGAGTGCCCCAGGCTCAGTCGTTTGTCCTCGCCTCTCCTCTGCCTTCTCTCCTCCCATGGTCATCTCATCCAGTTAAATATTGCCTATCTGACTCCGAATTCACACCTGCAACCCAGCCCTCTCTCCTGAGCCCCAGACATATAAAGTCAACTGCCCACTCGAAATTTCTGCTCAGATATCTAATTGACATTTCAAACTCAACATGGTCAAACTTTAACTCCCTAGAAAAGAAAAATCCAACAAAATGCTGGAGCTGGGAACCCAAAGGGTC